CATTCGGAGTCGGCGTAAAACTGTAGGTCCCTCCCCTTTGTGTGACAACATCAAGGGGACCGCCACAAATTGGAGGAAAAGCACATATGTGTAAGCGCCAAACTATTATTATTATTTTATATGAATTTTACTTCTTTACTACTGAAACATGTATATGTTTAAATTCGTTGGGAATTTTGTGGGATAAATTTTCAAGATGTGGGTAATTGAGGGATTTTTTCCCCATTTCCGTGGGATATTTAACAGAGAATGTCTGGCATCACTGGGACGGGTAACCACAAAAATGCGACCTTATTGAGTTACTTAAACATGTACACACTTTGATGGCAATTGAATGGTTTAGGTGTATGCACGCAAGAGCAATAATCTACGTGAGTGTTATGTATGCATGATCCATAATTTATTTTAAACGGTCAATAAACATAAAATTTATATCACATTCTATACATAAATATATTTGTTATCTATATGATATTAGGGAATTAGTGACGAGCAATAACAAATCGCTAGAGTGTAATTCCTAAAAAGCCTCTTCATTCATTGGAAAACAGCTCGGCCGAAAATATATGTACATAAATTTATTTTTAATAATGAGGCACTTTCAGGTCATTTACTGGTTCATATGAATTTTGTGGAATAGTTCAGCAAACACAAGTTCACGGGCATAGTGGTTCCGAACGAACGAATTCGAATGCTTGAGAACTTCAAAAATAATCCGAGCTTATGGAGTAGAGATAAACAAACCGTTGAGTTCTGTCAAGTTTTCCTTAAGGGAATTTGTGCTCCAGGAGCTAAGTTATTTCACTTCCTTGAAAAGAACTCTAGCTGCATTTTAGTTATCTTCATTTCTACCTCTACAAAGTCATAAAACCTCTTGACTGGCGTCATATTGGGCGAAATAATCTAATTCCTCGACAAAATATTGTTTTCATTTCTTAGCTCGCAGTTTGGCGTTTGTGTCCGTAAATCGGTGAACCTTTTACGTTCTTACTCTTTACTAAATCTGAGTCCATACAGATATGGTAATTCCAATATTTCATTTGGATATACATAGCGATTTCGCCTTACAGAGTTCCATATTGCTTATATAACCACTTCGACCGGGGACACAGATGCCATGTCTAATAAAACCTGGAAGTAATCCCATACTGCCAACCCAAGACTAAGAGCATCGCCCTACTATTAGAGTAATGCCTCAGAGGCCTCTATGGCGTAAACATAAGCCCGGAAGACAAAGTTGTCTTTCTCTAGGCTGTCGAAGAGAAGTCTTCTGGGTTATTTCCAAATACCCCTGCTGAAATAAGTCTCGTAATGTGAATATGAAGAGAGAAGTATGCTTAGTAGTCTCTCGGATACCCAAAGTAAGAAAGGCAGGTCGTCCACCACGAAAGAACAAAACAGAGCACTATGGTCTGGCGACTATCATTTGCTGGCCAAAAGTCGAGAAGAAACCAAGTTGATTTGAAACTTGGTGTTTGGGGGGTTTTGAGGTCGCTGATTTCGAATATAATGTCAGATTTTCGAAATTCAAAATGGCGACCAAATTTTATACTTCCTTCCCTTTCATCAGAAACTTACACATAGGCGGGGTTCTCAAGGTTACTGATTTCCAATCTGATAGCAGATTTTTTAAATTTAAAGTGGCGGATCCAATATGGCTAGCAAATTTGATTTTTTTTTCATTTTCACCAAAAACTTATGTATAAGGAGTGTTTTCGAAAGCGATGACTTAAAATCTGAGGTCAGATTTATGAAAATGAAAATGGCGGATCCAATATGGCGTTATCGGAAAAAGTTTTAGTTTAAAAAATTTGTTTAACTTTTAAACGACTTCCAAAAAAGGAGGAGGTTTTCAGTTCGTTGGAATATTTATTTTTTTTTTATGTATGTTACCACATAACATTGAACCACGATCAACCGATTTCGATAATTCTTTTTGCATCGGAAAGGTGGTGTCTTAGGGGTGGTCATTGGATCATGAAATTTATATATATATATATATATATATTTTTTTTAAGTCGGTTCTTTTTTGCTAAAAATTACTTGTTGCTATATATTTGTTTATTTATTTGTAATCATAGCTGCTTCGAATAAAAACTTTTTCACTTTCACTTTTTGTACTGAAATTGAATGAGCTACAAAACTTCATACCCAAAAATTTTCTGTCGGCCTTGCTGGGTTAAAAAACTTATTTCTGAAGTACGTTACTAGCTTTAAGTGTGGCCAGAATGCAGAAAAGTTTGTGAATCAATGGAACAGAACATTCGTCGCAGTTAGCAAGAACTTCACGTTGCACGCAGGAGTATTTGTATAATAAAACCGGTAAAAATTCAGATTTATCAACTTTGATAAAATTCTCTTTAAACATATTATTTCTCACGCTATGTAACAGATTTATCAGTTGGCAGGATTTTCGACAACATCAAATAGAACACAGCCTTTATTGGGATAATTTTTTTTCTGCGCTTCCATTGTCTGCATTTGATTCTTTCGTTATTATGTTTTTGAAGGACTAGTAGACATAGCAATAGAAAGTATGGACTATAATTTATATGCGTGGCTGATAAATTAGATAGGTAGAGCACACCGAGGTTACTTCTCCGCACCGGAAAGGTATAGGAGATCCTGTGGCATTCTGCGGGACGTACTTGCACGGAAGGGCTTTCAGTCCATTGGGTAAAAACTTTAACATACGAAGTAGTATAAATCTTCCGATCGTAAGTTCATCTCAGGCGGTTAAGCCAGTTTTTTAAGCTGGCTTAGCACCTCAACACGAACCTGAAGGGCATACTGGCCGGGCAATGTCCGATGGGAACCCAAGCGGACCGCAGCTGTTAAAAGGATAAAGAGGTGGAGAGAATTTCTTCTCAGCTAGCATATTTTCTCAAAGCTATGTTTTAAACCAAGGAATGAAACCGAAACCCACACCGAAACCGTAACCGTTTAAAACCGTTTCGTTTTTCAAAACCGAAACCGAAACCGTAACCGTTATCTTAACCTGAAAAGGAACGATACCGAAACCATTCCAATCACAGGTTTCAATCGGTTTCCAGAAATTTACAAAAATAATAAATCAAAATTTCTTTGAAATAAATGATTTATTTAACCAAAATCAGCAATATTTTGCTAAAATTCTTGTTAAGTAGTAAATAAGTATGTCAAAGTAACTTTTCGCAAAAAGCTACTAAAATGGTGCCTAATAAATTAAATCTCGGATCTGGCATCGGTTATTTGGAAGAAGTCATTTTGATTTTCATTTTCACGTGTATAGTTGTAAAGGACACAGAAATGAAGGGGTTTCATAATTATGTAGTATTTATTTATTTTAGTTTTCATACACCTTTAGTTTTACAGCAAAAAGGAAACATTTAAGTGAATCTGGTGATGACGTTGTTGCTGTGTATCTGTGTAGTTTTCAGCGAAAACTGGTTTTTGTTTGACAGATTTTACATGGACGAAAACACAAGTTTTAGGTCGAAAACCAGTTTTAGCAACGAAAACATGTTTCCGATGTCGGTCAGAACATGGTATAAGTGACAAAAACAAGAAAAACGTGAATCAGCTGTTTCTGGACTTGTGGGCACGAAATGTGGTTTTTGCGTTCCCGTACTTTTGGACTTTGTCCCATTTTTGAAAGAAAATGTCTCTCTTATTCTCTAATTACCAAATCCGGTCCGAATTGTTAGGGAAAGAACCTAGTGTTGATATTATCAGTGAACTGTAATTATCAATTTTCTTTCCTCAACCTTTAAGGGCCAATTTCACAGTACGTAGTTAACTCAGAATCGACGGTTAACTAGAGATTTTCAGTACAAAAATCTGTAGTTAACTCCGGATTCTGAGTTAAGTACGCATTGTGCAATTGGCCCTAAGACATTGTGATTTAAATAATATCAACAAAATTTCTGTGAAAAACCGAAACCGGAACGAAACCGAAACCAAAACCGAAATAAATTTTGAAGAACGAAACCAAAACCGAAACCGAAACACTTGGCAAAACCGAAACCCAAACCGGAACGTTATTTTGAATCGGTTTCATTCCTTGTTTTAAACATTCCACATCGTACTTATAGCATGAGCACTTTTGATGAACTCTTGGCAGTGGACATCAGTTGCCTGTGGGACTCGATTTGCAGCGCAGGACAATTTAAGTTTTAACCAATAAAAATGTCATATTTTATATATTTGTGAAAGAACCTGGTTGAATTAAACAAAACGAGTTGAAAAATGAATTATCTGTATCATTATGTTCTCAGTTTGCTCACCCTTAGCCTGAAATTTGGCCCATTTTCTGAGACTGTGGAATTTAGAAGCGTTGCAGCGTATGTATGCCTCACAAATGAGAATTTGGTAGAAATAACAAAAAATTGAACTATTTCGGTCCAAATAACAAATACTTGGTAATAAGGATAATCATTTAATATAATTTTGTATTTATTTGTATTTAACCCAGTAAAAAGGTAGTTTTAATCAAATCTTTGTATAGAATTTTTAAAAGAAATTAATTGCCCAAACACTAAAATTCTCAACATGAACCAGAGCTTTATTAATTGACCCATTTAAAATACATAAATGTAGTTTCGTGTGTACAAACTCAAGCGGCGGAAAAGAATAGGTTTAATATGCATGTCAGCTTCTGAATAAATACCAAATTATTTTGGCATAAACCTAATAAAATAAAATTAAGCCAAGCGAATTCTAACCAAAAATAAGTATGCAAGTACTTGCTTTAGCCAAAATTGTCACTTTTGGAGGTTAAATTTTTCAAAATAAATATCTGCGTATTTAAATATATATTTGTTGTGCATGTACAAGTAAATTCGCACATAATCATGCAAATTCGATGGTTATTATTCTGCGCAATTTTTTTAAGGTTGTTAATAAGCATAAAATTTGCAGAAAAGCAGAGTGTATTTAAACTCGAACAATAAAGCACTTGAGTATCAGTTCTATTTTGCACTTCCATAGTAAAGCATATAACAAACAGCAAATCAAACAAAATGTTCAAATATGTAAGTATGCAAATTGAATATTTGCGAATTATTTGAAGCACACTTACAAGCTATCTATATGTATTATTGCAATAATTAATTTATGCACCAATACAAAGTAAAATTATTTTAATTTTTCTACTTTCAGTTCGCTCTCGTTTTCGTGGCCCTCTTCGCCTTCGCTGCTGCCGAACCTAAGCCAGCTGTCGTCGCCGCGCCATTTGCCTACTCAGCCCCATTGGTTGCTTCGCCCTATTCCGCCGCTTATGCTGCTCCCTACGCCGCTTACGCCGCTGCTCCTTATGCCGCCTACGCTTCACCATACGCTGCCTACTCTGCTTACCCCTACAGCCCCTACAGCGCCGCCTATGTGCTCCGCAAGTAAATGGTGTGTAGCAGAAGATCTGTGATATTAACTAATAACGAATAATTGGCAATTTGAAAGACAAGAATTACTGATAATGGAAAAAATAAAACAAAATGAAATCGAAAACAACATGTCGAATTTATTTCCTAGACACTACTTTCCATTCGTTTCCGTCGATGGTCCTCAGCACAATTCAAAATCATAAAAACGAAAGCCCTTAGTACTGTTAAGTGGCTCATGTCTCTGCAATCTTGTATAATTCATGTCTAATCCTTACTTCTTACTTTAGTGATCATTACACCTTACTCTAGTAAGGATAAAATATGGAATAGACAAGGATTAGAGACATTAGACACTTAAAAGTAGTAAGAGTTTTGCTTTTTTGAATTTTGAATTGTGTCGTTACCGAACTTTTCATTAACGTGAGTGTTCATACGGTAGAGAAAAAAAAGTAAGTGCGCCTGGGCTACACTGGAGAAGTGAAACTTACGTTACACATCAATTTTGTCTCGTAACCAATATACTACATAAGTATATACTATATACAAACATACTACATACCTACATCTGCTTTTGCTTAAGGTTATATTTTTTGTCTTTTTTTTGTCTTTACCCGATAACAACAATCGATTAAAAAATCCATAAAAATATCTATAAAAAAAAATCTATTAAAATATCGATAACAAAATCGATGAATAATCGATAAAAATCTAAAAATAATCGATAACAAAATCGACAAATAAGCGATAACAAAATCGATACCAAAATCTAAGACAAACTCGATAAAAATTTCGATAGACAAATCGACAACATTAGTAGCAAAATCGATCAGAAAATCGAAGAAAATATCGATAAAAGTATCGATAGAAATATCGATAACGAAATCGATAAGTAATCGATAACAAAATCAATTAGAATATCTATCAAAATATCGATAACCAAATCGATAAATAATCGATAACAAAATTGATAAATACTTATATCAGTCTGCGCAAAGTCCGGCAGAGAGGCACACTGAGGGGTCAATTGGGACCATTGTGATGCCACTTTATTAAAGTAGTAGTAGTAAACTATTATTCCTTTCCCTGAATTTCGCATGTGATAGAACCGCCGTGTTAACTTAACGTAGCGTTGAAAATCGCGGATTTCCAAATCAGCTAAGCACTGAATTAAATATTTATTAAAAACAAGTAATTTTTAAGCAAAAAAACAAACCCGATTTCAATTCTCATATAAAATTTTAAGACTTCCGTTAATTTCGCCATGATCCAATGACCGGATGTAAACCAAGTTAGTGAGCGACCACCTATGAGGTATCCCTTTCCCTTGAAAAAAAAATAATTTTAGAAATCGAGATTAACGTGGTCCAAAGTTATGCGGTAACATACATAGAAAAAACTATTCCGACGAATTGATAACCTTCTCTTTTTTTTATAAGTCGGTTAAATAATAAATCGTAACCTCGCCAATGTGGGGCTTTGGCTGATATACACTTCTCTGATGCTCTACATTCTTCACCTCTGCCTCGTCCCTGTACCCACGACAAAAATCTTCAGCGGGTATCCCGTTCGCTTACCGTGAAAATCTGTAATGATATGGACTACTGCGCTGACAATGAATGCGTCCCATACCAGGACACAGGATAAAACGGGTACTTTTCAAAACAAATATTTGACAAAACAGTACGATTTACCTGCCGAACTATATCGGCCACAACACTGGTCCGGCAGCGCGGCAGCCCAGGTACAGGGAAACAGCGACGTCATACAGCAGCCACCGCACCGAGGGTAGTCACCGCTCCAAGAGCCGGCGTCGCTCTGACAGCAGACACCGCGAGGAGAAGGTAGACACAATAGGTCGCCTAGCGGCAGCGCCAGTAGTGTCTGATGAGTCTAGGTGGCAGAATGAGTCAGGCAAAGACAAGCCCACGTCACCACACTACTCTTGCCGCATTCTCACTTGTCGTTTACAAATTTTTTTTCGCCACGTTGGCACACAAAGAGAGGGATCTAAAATGTTGGTAGGACCACGAATCGAATCTGAGTCTTTCGGATTGATGATACGTATCTCTAACTACTCGGCTACGGCGGCGGTTTTTATTGCTACGCTTTAAAAAAACGTTTTGTTTACTAATTTGTAGATGTGCCACGAATCAGCTCCTCGAGGACTATCACGGTTTGTGAATATTTTTCGCTCAAATCCTACTCGCGCAATTCAAAAGCATCGAAATGGAGAACATTTCTGCAGAGGAAGCGGAAGGGAAATAAGTGGCCAACCACATTTGTTTATTTATGCATTAAGCAACGCAAATGTGTGTATATTTGTGAACGCTAGCATAACCGCTGTTGTATATATGTAACCACATAACCGCATAATGCAAGCAAATAAATTTTCTATTTGATTTATGTATACATACTACATTGGCGGGCGCGAATGTATGTACACTAGACTGCATCATCAAAAAAAAGGTTGCGGGTTTTTTATATTTTAAGACGTCCACTAAAATATTTCGCAAAAATATTAAGATTTTCATAAGCTGCACTGATTTGAAAATCCCTCAAAAAATGGAGTTTTCTATGAATAAAAATATGTTCTGATTCTGTGGTCACACAAAAAATGTTAGCGGGCCCACAAAGTCAGTTAAGGATCCTTAGATCCTTCTCCTGTCAACTTGACGGCGACCTAAATAATTGCTTTGAATAGTGTTGTAGCATATCTCGCTGCCAATACGAGTGAAGCGTGTTAAATCTGTATTCAAGAAGTTTGGATTTGTTGGAGAGGAGCCGAATGTATGTCTGGGTTTCTGAAAAATTAACTTAAAACCAGTCTTAAAACTAATTTTTAGGTTTAATTGGGCAACGGTCAGGACTGCAAACATTTAAGCCTCGAACTCCGTAGGACATCAGACCAAGTTTGGAGTCAGGTTCACAAGCGGATACAGGCTTTGTCTTCCATAATTGAACCGTCTGTGTTTTCAGTCTCATCCAGATCTCTGAGGCTTAAATTTTTATTGATAAGTTCATCACTTTTCTAATATAATTCTCTTCTTTTATTGAAGTAGGGACACGATATCGAACAGAATGTATCGATATGGTACTCATTTAAAGTATCGCTTTAAAAGTATCGGGTACCCATTAATATCGGAATAAAAAGACTCGATATTCCAAATATCGATACCAAAATCCAAAAAAATTTCTCTAAATATAAGTCTCGTATATAGGCCGCTGTGGTGTAATGGTTAGTAGTGCGCACAGCTTGAAAATGAAAAACAGCTTCCCATTAAAACCAAATCGCCGTTCAGAGTCGATATAAAACTGTAGGGACCCCTTTTGTGCCACAACATTAAGGCGCGCGCGACAAACCGGAGGAGAATCTCGGTCAAACACTAACGTATTGTGTAACAGCACGTAGAGATTGATGTGTTGACTTAAAACACCGAGGTCGCGGGGTCAAATTCCACTTCCACACTTTAAAGCCCAATTTATATCGGGACGAATTGTTAATAACATTATCCTTGTAATGTGAGTTTATGACATTCGATACGATACTAGGGTTCTGGTACTCGATTCCAAAAAATATCGTTTTTAAACTATCGAGTAGAAAATATCGGTATCGAATGCCAAAAGTATCGATATGGTATCGTATCGTATCGAAATTCGTGTCCCTATAGTGAAGTTCATCTATTTACACCAATCGAGAACGATCTATTGAAACAAACCTCTAGGTCTTCTGTGATCGACGTATAATTAACGAACCTGAAGAAGCAGCAAACTGTCGTGAGGCATCCTAATGTACATGTATGTATTTATATCTGTGCAGCCCATTACATTTGTATGCTTACGCTCGTGGTCATTCATTTACTGCATAGTCCATGCAGCTGTCCATGCTGTCGATTCATGAAGTATTCTCAATTAAGGAATGGCTTAAATATGAAATCAAAGCGCCTCAAAGCAAAACGTGGCGAATACTAAATGAACGATTGTGACTAGAACTTGAACAACGAAATTAAATTTCCGGTTTGCGTATGCTTTTCCGAGAACATTCGTACATATACAAATGTGTGTATGTATGTGTTGCATATTGCGGCCACTCACAATAGACGTTTGCCTCCCACAACCTGCACTTATCCACGCCCAAAGCTCGCATTCAACATTCGCGTGCGGCAAGATGGCTGAATGGACTTTCCAAACAATGCTAAGTGCTCTGTCCATTTGAATGTGAGCGATGTAAACTACTGCCCAATACATATACATACATATGTACGTATTGCTAAAGTAGCAAATGCATTGTAAAAAAGGATTTTCAAAAGTGTTCGACATGACGTGAATTGTAAGAGTTCCCAGAAGTAAATAAATGTTAATGAACGTACATATGTATAAGTACATATGTATAAACACACGTATGTATATGTAAGTGTATGTATATGTTCCTACTTGCACGTAGTTGGTTAAGTTCGTATTACGGCCTCAATTGTGCTAAAATCGGTTGTGCGCAAAAGTAATCACCATTGGTTGGAGGTCAGTAGCGCTCAAGGACGTTTGTAGTCTCTAATTATGGGCAAACAAAAATATCATTAGAAATTCTTCACAAAAGTCACTACAACTACTTTTGCGGCGAACGGGTTGAATGGAATTCCAATTTTGAACTAACCATCAGCGTTGCGCACAAGTTCGAATCGCACCATCGATCGATCGTATCTTTACATACATACATCCCTAAGTAGTTGCAGTAAGTATTCCATTTCATTAAACGCAAAGCAGCAGCTGAAACTGAATCGAATTAAAAGCTCAATCAAGTTAGCGGCGCTAAAATGAAAAAATGAAGAAAAAAATTGTTCGTATTATTGTGCTCATTGTGTGCTATTTTCGGCCACTTTTC